CACCCATCACCTGGTGGTTGGGATGTTTGGAGCTGTGCAGGGAGGGTGTGTGGTCAGCAGGGCACAGCTCACCCCTGCCCTGGGGTCCCCTAGGGACCTGCCATCCTGCCTGGCTGTGGCTGAGCCTCTCATCCATCCATCTATCCATCCACCCATCCATCTATCCATCCATCCATCCATCCATCCCTCCCTGTCTGGATGGATGGATCTGCTCAGAGCCAACATCAGCCAACAGATCCCACGTGTGTTGCCTGGCTGCTGAGGAGCTCAGGCAGGAGCCTGGGATGCAGCACAGCTCAGAGCTGGCATGGGAAGAGCTGATAAAGGAGGGATCTGCAGGCAAATCACCTTCCCTCTGCTCAGTGGTCCCCAACCATGTCCCTTGGAGCCACATGCCATGGTCCTAAGCTGTGCTCCAAGCTGCTCCCCCAGCATCCTTCCTCCTGCCCAGCCAAGCCCATAGTCCTCCTTTCTCACCATTAAATCCCCTCTCACCCCTTCATTCCTTATTCCCTGCACTGACAGCTCTTCCCACCTGCAATTCCTCCTCTTAGCCACAGCTAATTTTGCTGGACACCAGGTCTGTCTACGAGACATTTCCAACACCTCCACACTCAGCTGAGAGTTCTGGGAGATGCTGTTCCATAGGTCCATTTTTAGTGGCTGGATGCAAGGACACATGGGCACGAGGGAGAGTCATCACACAGCCCAAAACCACTGGGTGAGGGTAAATCTGCCATGCAGCTACTGAGGGCTGTGCTAAATGCTCTCCCTTGGGTGAGTTATGACAATTTTTAGTGCAGGCAGAGCATAAATAACCATCCTGCATCTATTTTTTTCCCCTCCTGAAGATCTGCTGGTTTGCTTTTCCTTGTTTTTCCCTGGCAACTCAGGGAGGTGAGATCAGTATCTGCATGGGAGCTATGGAGCTACAGGGAACCTGACTCTGCTTTTTCTTCTGGAGGTTCAGTTTTTAGCCTTATTCAGGCCAGAGGTGTTGGAGTGGGTTAGTCTCTGCTGCTGCTCCAGGCTTGGGAAAAGCTCAGGATGGGAGAGATCAGGAGTGGAGGCCACTGGAGAGCATGGGCAGGTAGCCCAGGGGTGAGGAGCAACAGGGCTGAGCTCCCTCAGGTTCAAGGGACAGAAGAGGCAACCCATGGATGGGGAAGGGATGGAGTGTTTTAATTCCCAGCTAAACAGGATGGGAAGAGGTTTGTGGATGGATTGGGAGCCCATCCTGCTAGGAAGGGGCTGCCTTGCCCTGCAGGTCCATCGCAGAGAGGTTGGGTTGGAGACTCAGCTGGTGATGCTCTGGTCCTGCCCATGCCCCCAGCTCTCAGCAGCTGTTTTCCTGTGCCCCTGCAGATGTTGGCACCTGGCTGGAACATCTCTCCTCTCTCTTTTCCAGCTTGTCTCCAGCACCAGAGCTGTGAAATGTGTGTGTCCTCAGAGCTGACCTTCAACTGCAGCTGGTGTCATGTCCTGCAGAGGTACCTGGGCTGAATTTCCTTCCCACCTCTTCCCTTGCCATGTCTCTGGGGCTGGGACAGCAAGCACAGCCCCAGGCCTGGTGTCTGTATCAGTGTCACTGGGTTTAAGTATTATTTTCCCCTTTTTTTTTATGTTTTGGAGGTTAATTAGGTGCTGCTCTTGGTCTCACAGTCATGGTTAAGTGATGACCTGGTGTCCAGTTTCAAGCCATTGAAAGGAGATCTTTTCTGGGGATTTTGCTCCTGGAACAAGTTGAGACCTGGAGCAGGACTCACATTTTTGTCACTGAGCTCAAACACATGGGAAACTTGTCCTGGCTTGGGCTGGGATCAGGCAGAAGCTCAGAGCTCCAGCTGGAAGGGCAGCAGGAAGGTGATGGAGTCAGGGACACTCATCCCCCCAAGCTGTGTGGGACATGCCCTCCTTGCTGGGGATGAGACACACCAAGGGTGGAGAGAACTTGCTGCTTTTCTGGGGTGAATGGAGGATGTGGTGCTGCCCCTGCTCTCCCCCAGCTCGAGCAGTGCAGTACAGAGCATGAGAGATAATGAGGTTTTGCTGAACTCTTTATTTAGAGCTGGTGGCAGGGGAGGGAACCCAATAACACAGATCCTCAGGGTGGCATGGGAACAGCTGTGTGTGGAAATCCATCTCTCCCAGGAAGGCACAGACTGTCTGTCCCCCCCCAGCCCATCAAGGTATAAGCAGGGGCAGGTAAAGATTCTCAGCCATCAGCAAAGTCACTGTCTAAGTTAACATCAGTTCCCCAACACAGCCACTCTACAACTGAGCACCAGTCCCTGCCTCTGGTTGCTGAGGTACACTCTGAGCCAGGGGAAGGTCATTTTTCAGTGGCAGTTGCTCAGTGGTGGTTTCAGAGCAGAGAATAGGATGTTCTCACATCTGGTAGTAAAACCAGGCCTGGGGGACAGTGGTTTTGTCTGGATCTCCTTGGGCTGAACCCCAAGGTTTGGGCACTCTGCTTACTCCAGACTTAGGGTGTTTGCAAACCTCATCTTGTCATACCAGAGAGTCATGGAATGAGTTAAGTTGGAAGGGACCTTAAAGCCCATCCAGTCCCATGGGCAGGGACACCTTCCATCAGTTCAGGTTGCTCCAAGCTCCATCCAACCTGGCCTGGAACACTCCCAAGGATGGAGCAGCCACAGCTTCTTTGGACAACTTGTGCCAGAGCCTCAGCACCCTCATAGGGAAGGATTTATTCCCACTATCCCATCCAACCCTGCCCTCTGGCAGTTTAAGGGTTTACCCTATCCTCTTTCCTCTTCCAAACTCCCAGTGGCTGTTTGCTCTTATCCCTTGGCCCGTGGTGACTCTGACTCTTGGGCAGCAGCCACCGCGTCCTGCGCCGTCCCCGTGGCTTGGGGGGCTCAGCCTGAGAGTTCAGGTTACAAATGGGCATTGAAAACCACGCTGGGAATGGCAAGTTGGAGCAAGCCAACTGCTATCTTTGTTGGCTTTCACCCAGGTTGGTCTGGCAAAGCCAACATGATCTGTCCCAAGGTGGATCTCTTCCAGGGTTGGAGCTATATCCTGACTCCAGCTCTGTGATTCCAGCCCAGAGTCCTCTCAGCTCTCTGCTGGACAGTGGGGTTTGTATTTTGGCCTTTTCTGAGCCCAAAATTGTGTCAGGAGCTGTACTTTAAGCAAGGATCTCAGCAGGATCTGAAGTTTCTTGTGGTTTCTCCTCAGTTACTGGTTGGGTAAATTGGTGCTTGTATGAGCTGTGAACTCCTGTTGCAGAGTTTGGTCTCCCCAGAGAGTTTGCAAAGGTCAGAGTGCTGCTTCATTCCCTGGTTCTGCAGGGATTTTCTAGCTGGTGTTTGCCTGATGTCATTTTTAATTTCTTTAGTGTGTTTTTCCTGTGCAGATGTTGCTGGACAGGCCCCAACAGACCTCGTGGAGCTCATGGCCTTACCCTGGCACTGAGTCCAGGGAATGGAAACTCAAACTCAGCCTATATATTTTTCCTCTTTCTCTGCTTCTCCTTTTCCCTTGGAGAACTGGTGTTGACCCTTTTCCTCCTCTCTGCAGGGGAATATTTGGGTTCTTCCAGCACAGCTGGACTGGAAACCTCATGTCTTTGGCTCTAATCTTGGATCTAACCTCGAGTAGATCTTTCCAGCCCTTGTTTGGCCAAGTATCCTTCCAGCACCCATCAGGGCAGAAGTTGGGGCTCTGGGGCAGCTTGGAAATCCTGAGCAGTTCCACAATCATTTCCTGCCAAGGGTTAATCCTGCTTTGCTCCACAGGTGCTCCAGTGGCTTCGACAGGTACCGGGAGGAGTGGCTGTCCTACGGCTGTGGCCAGGTGAGCCCCAGAGGATCTCTCCCTTCCCTTGGCTCCTCTGCTGGGAGTGCTGCTGATCCACAGGAAAATCTAGGGCCACCTCCCAGCTCAGATAATGAATGCTCAGCTCCTCTTGACCCGTGGTGTTCTGGATCAGACTGAGATTCCCTTTAGATATTCCTTCATTCCCTTGAGATATTCCTTTGGGTGTGCATTTATTCCCAGAAAATATCCCTTTAGACACTCCTTTATCCCCATTAGCCCTTCATTCCCTTTGGATATCTCTTTAGATATCCCCTTACTCCCTTGGGATATACCTTTAACTATCCCTTTATTCCCTTGAGTTATCCCTTTGGATATGCATTTATTCCCTGAAGATATCCCTTTAGATACTCCTTTATCTCCCTTAGCCCTTTATTCCCTTTGGTTGTCTCTTTACATATCTCTTTATTCCCCTCGGATATCCCCTTGGATGTGCATTTATTCCCTGAAGATATCCCTTTAGATACTCCTTTATCCTCATTAGCCCTTCATTCCCTTTGGATATCTCTTTACATAGCCCTTTATTCCCTTGGGATATACCTTTAGCTATCCCTTATTCCTCTTGGATGTGCATTTATTCCCTGAAGATATCCCTTTAGATACCCCTTTATACTCTTTTATCCCTCTTAGATTGCTCTTTATTCCCTTAGCTATCCCTTTATTCCCTTGGGATATACCTTTAGATATCCCTTTATTCCACTTAGATATCTCTTTATTCCCTTTATTCCCTTGGGATATACCTTTAGATATCCCTTTATTCCACTTAGATATCTCTTTATTCCCTTTATTCCCTTTCTATATTCCTTTATCCCCTGCAGCTATCCCTTTATTCCCCTTACCTGCCCCTTTCCCATGGCAGCAGGAGCTCTGACTCCCTTCACAGAGATGTGTGGATTGGGATAGCTAAGGGATGCTCCAGCCAATCCAACCCTGTGTGGGTTCTGGATATCCCCTGAGGGTGCAGAAACCTCCAGAAGTCACCAAACAGTGCAGTTTGAGCACTCCAGGATGTTTTTCCTCCTTCTCCTCCCCCCCACCCCAGAGCATGACTCTTACTCACTCTGAAGCAGGAAGGAATTATCCTGGTTTTTGTCCTTGTGAGCACAATTATCTCCACGTTGGATGAACTCCTCCCTTTGTCTAGCACAGATCAGCTCCAATGAAACATCTGCTTCTGCTTTGGGTTTTGGTTTGTTGGTTGTTTTTTTTTTTCCTTGGTTTATTTTTTTCCTACTGAAAACTCAACTTTATTCCCTGTTAGCCAGAGGGTTGAGCCAGGGAAAAAAAGGTCATTGGACCTATGGGATGTCCCTGGACCTATGTGAGGTCACACAGTGATGCATCAAGGTCAGACTGTAAGACCTTTCCAGGCTGTTGTGATTTCTCCTGCTTAAATGCTTCCCAAATTTTTCCTCCTCTTCCCCAGCCTCCACTCCACCCTCCCTATATATCTTCTGGTACTTCTGGACCTGTCCCCAACTTCTCTTCTGGTATTTGCTCTCCAGGGACACAGTGGCCCCAAACCTGGGAAACACATTCCCCACCC